AACATTAACTGGTACTGACCTGGACGTATATCGTCTTCCTATTGGTATAAGAGTCGTTAACGTCACTTCCGATCAGTTCCTAATAAACAATAAACCATTTTACTGTCATGGCGTCGACAAACACGAAGATTCTGATATTCGCGGTAAGGGATTAGATTACGCCCTGATAGCGAAAGATTTTAATATGTTGAAATGGTTGGGAGTCAACTGCTTTCGGACTTCTCATTATCCTTATGCTGAAGAAATTCTAGATCAAGCAGATCAGCAGGGGATCGTTATAATTGACGAGAGTCCTGGGGTTGGTATCAAGTCTAACAATTTTGGAAACGAGTCATTAAGTCATCATTTAGAAGTAATGTCAGAGATGTACCGGCGAGATAAAAACCGACCAGCAGTATGTATGTGGTCTGTAGCCAACGAACCTGAATCAGACGCCACAGACGCGGTTCCTTACTTCAAATCTGTGATAGGTTATACCAAACAACTCGATCCAACAAGACCTGTTAGTTTTACTTGCAATAAAGATTATAGCAATGATAAATGTGTTCAATTTGTCGATGTTATTATGATCAATAGATATTATGGATGGTACAGCGATACTGGACACCCAGAAGTCATTCAAAGACAAGTTGACACTAATTTTATGGAATGGAGAAAGCTTTATAATAAGCCGTTGTTGGTATCAGAATTTGGAGCTGGTACAGTAGCCGGGTTGCACCGCCAACCAAGTATGGCTTTTACGGAAGAATACCAAATAGAGGTCCTGTCTCAATATCACCAAGCCTTTGACCAGCATATAGGAAAATTCCTTGTCGGTGAGCTCATATGGAATTTTGCTGATTTTATGACAGCACAAAACCCGAAGAGAGTTGTTGGTAATAAGAAAGGTATCCTCACAAGACAACGCCAACCTAAGGCAGCTGCTCAGTTAGTAAGGAACAGATATAATGCTATGTTTAATTCATCGTTTAATGGAGATCACAGACTTTGTTATTTATAGATCATTTGCTTGTATAACATCTGCCAATAAACATTTTTTTCTGATATATACGGTCACATTTAATGTGAACGCATATTCATATTTGGAACCTATGTGGATCTCATAGTTTTTTAAATTTGCAGGTATCGTTGCTTGAGTCATAAAGACAGACTCCTATCGAAATTCAGAATCCCCCACCCTTCATTTAGGTTTAAATTTATGAAATCTTGTCAAATGGATACAGGGCAGGTGTCTTTCCGTTTTTATTAAATGAAAACTCTTCCGAAGACACCTGAAACCTGGAGAATGAGGAAGAACTTAGAAGTCATATAATCCCTTTAGCTACTTTACAGGGGTTGTGTAAGAAAACATACTACACGCTTATATTCAATATGTGTGGAGTGTTAGGCAATTCAATACCCTGAGGTTGGAAGCATCAGTATCACGGTTTGATTTTTAAAGAAGTTTTAAAGAAAAATTGATTTAATAACAATTATATTTGTATTCCTCACACAGCCGCCGCATCCTTCCAGATTTACCTTAAAATGTAAAATAATAACCGTGAATTTTATACTATCCTTTAGGTTGACTAGGGAATGGAGTTGTTCAAATTAGAAAAAAAATGTGTTTAACATAACTATTATAACTACATCTGTTATATGACATTAAAGAGTCTGTTGGTGGATTCTGTGGTTTTAATTCCTGTTCTTATTGGCGATGAATCCAGTGCTTATATGTCTGGAGCTCATTTGTCCAACGCTATTGGTTTGACGACGATATTCGTTCCGGGGTCCATGCGCACAACGGTGATTATCTGGCGCTGATTGATCCAAGTATGATATGTGCTTTTCGGATACTGGTCTGTATCCCATGGTATTGTCGCCATCTGTATATATCCTCATTAGCCCCAACAGAACAAACTTTGACCATGCCCTTCATAGTGCCGTGGGGTTTAGGGCAACTATAATGGCCGTTTGCGGTACTACACTATGTACTTCACTAATCAACAATATTTGACAAAAATGAAATGAAATTGGGTTTAACGTCCTACTGTTCTGCGCCGACTGGGCTAATGAAGACGGGCATACGCCATACAGTGTTCTATCAGGGAAATTTTGCCCGGGCACCGGCACTATGGTCTACTCTTCTATCGAATTCCAACTGCCAAGAGATCTTTTCCGTACACGCTAATGTATAGACGAGATCTCGTTTTTTCGTCCCATTCGAACGATTAGACAGCTGTCCTTGTTAGGCTCTACTTCCTTCAGCACTGACAATGGGAAACCACTTCGGAAAATCCCGATGAACTTTCTCAGCCAATGCAGGGATCGAACACGCGACCTCTTACCCACTTAACCACCGTAGCTCCCTACGACATTTGACACATTTCACAAAATATCTTATTATCAAATCACAAACAATAAACAATAAGTTCAAGATTTGTCAATGCCTTTACTAGCCTAAGTTCGTTTGTAACATACAAAATAGTTGACGTAACCAAATACAAAAATACATTTAATATATTACTGGGATATTCTGGAAACAACTGGTAAATATAATGTGCCCCATTATAATCACTGCTCACGCATAATGACCAGTGAATGCGCATAATGACCAGCGAATGCACATAATAACCAATTATACATAGGATTGCATATCTATCACCAGCCAACTTATCACTTATAATTATGTCATGGTTAAACATCTTAACTGGACTATATCTAACTCGTTATTGTTGCCAGTATATAAATATATATAATATCAGATTACAAAGATCGATAACATATATTTGAATAATATCTACTGTCCTTCAGCGCTCATATTTATGTCAAGGTTGAAACAAATTTTATTATCAATACCAGCATATTACTTTCATCTCAATAGTCGTCCACTCGGTGGAACTTTGCGCCGGTCACGCTTTTGGTCTACTGCATTAAAGGGGGTGTTTTTTTTTCTACCGGAACAGCAGGCTACAATATGCCTGACACAATTGTATTTTTCCAAGTAAACACGGTATAATGTTTAACAGTTCTAGTCTGTTGTGTTTGTCGCAGAGGAGAGTGGTGACAAACGTAAAGAACGCCAGTGTTTCGTAAAGACGGCATACACTCTTGCAACGCCAATGTTTCATCAATGTTATCAATCAATTATATCGTTATTTCTTTCCTTGAAATAGGAAAAGGGGATGGTTATATCCAAGAACTGAAGTGGTATGTGGAATTTTCAGAACAAGTGATTTACCAACGACAAAACGGTTTGTCCACAAATGGTAAGCAGCGCCAATAACATCTACGGAAAATACCCATCCAAGCGTCGTCCAGCTCTAATGATGTCACAGACGATGTCTGCGAATGAGAATATAACCGTTTGTTTATTCGTCCATTATTATGCCGTCATCTACGTTAATGCCTTGGACATTGTGAGACAAGATGGTGGGTCTGTCTTTTGCAATATAAATTAACTGACTAGTTAATGTTTGTGGTCTGAATTATTAACAGTGGCTTAAAAATACACTCTCAGTTCGACCACCCTTTTTAACTGGATCAATTTCCTGTAAAGCAGGGGGGTTGCGATGGCGCAGTGAGTAAGATGTTGGTTCGCTAACTTTCAGTTCCCAGTGTTGGTCGAGACAGGTTCAACGGGATTTCCGGCGTTGTTCCCCCTTGTCAGTGATGCAGGACATAGAGTCTGTTAAGGGACAACGTATAGTCGTTCGGTGGGACTTAAATCCGAGGTCCCATATACACGTTGAGAGCACGTAAAAGAACCCCGGGCAGTTGGAATTCGATATAAGACAAGGTCGTAGGACCGCTGCCTGGGCACAATTTCCCTTATATAACGCTGCATGGCGTATGCCCGTCTTCATTAGCCCAGTCGGAGCAGAACAGTAGGACGTTAAAGGACATTTTATTTCTTACAAAGCAGATACATTGAGGTATTCTGGAGAACACTTCGTGAAGGCGAAATTGTGCAACTATATGTCGGAATACATCGCCATAATGTACACACAAAGCACATGGTAACTAACATTAACTCCGCCTCGGGCGTGAGATGTGTATATTATGATGAATAAACTTTTGGCAATTCAAAGTTGAACAAATTGGATGTAATCAGGTTTCATAAAAAACGACACTATTATGCCCCTTTAATTTTATCTCACTAAAGTGGGGCCACAATCACATGCAATAATATTTATCTATTTACTGGCTTACGGTATCGGTATCAATCCTAGAACAATGAAATCCTATTATGTTTGCTCAGTAAGCGAAATGCAAACGATGTAAGGTGTATTATAAATAAATGACAACAATGTCTAGCAATAATGATAATGTAGGAAAGCTGATTTTAAATATCATCTTTCTATCTAAATAAAGGATTAATCCTGAAAATTTTCAGAAATATGGTTTTGTATTGCTTCAACAACCTTTACGGCAAGACACAGTTCATGTATGCCAAATGAAATAAGGTTTAACGTCCTGATATTCTGCTCCGACTGGGATACAATGTACTAAGGGGTCTTTTATGTGCGCGCCAATGTGTACGCGAAACCTCATTTTTTTACGGTAAAACTCATTTTTATATGTAAAATGAAATCGAATGGGATATAACCTTCTACTATTCTGCTCCGACTGGGCTAGTGTGTCAAGGGGTCTTTTACGTCCACACCAATTTGTACACGGAACCTCAGTTATTCTTCCCATCCGAAGGACTATACGTTGACCCTTGCCGGCAAATCCAGATGAACATCGGGACCTCCAGGTTAGCGAGCCAACATCTTACCCACTGAGCCACAGCGGCTCCAGTTTTGTATGCAGAAATTAGTTTTTCAGAAGCGATAAGAACAAAACAGAAGTATATGAAGAACACGGCATCTACGACGTTAATTACATGACGTTTAAAATATGTCAGAATAAAATGATTTCAACTTTAAGGCTGTGTATCATATGCTATCGTTTGATACTGATAATGATATGACGAATCTAATATTGTTAAGATTAATTTAGTATAGATAACTTCTTAACATGGATAAGTTCAAAATTATTTTTACTCTTTCCATACTAATTTCAATAGTATGTGGAAAGGGGATGCTGTATCCAAGAAGTTCCGAGGGTCGTCAAATACAGAGTTTGGACGGTATGTGGAATTTCAGAATAGATGATTCTCCTACACGAAATGAAGGTTTTGATCAGAAATGGTATTCAAGGCCCCTTTCGATTACAGGAGCAGTTATACCCATGGCTGTACCGTCTAGTTACAATGACGTCACAGAGGATAAAAACATTCGAGATTTTGTTGGTTGGGCGTGGTATGATAGAGAGTTCTTTGTTACCAAGGAATGGCAGAGTCGACGTTTGGTTCTTCGATTTGACAGTGCACATTATTATTGTATAGTCTATGTAAATGGTGCAGAGGCGGTGAGACATAATGGTGGACATCTGCCCTTTGAGGCTGAAGTCAGCAATATGATCAATTTTGATGGACCGAATTATTTGACGGTAGCTTTAAATAACACTCTAAGTCCAACAACTCTTCCACCTGGAACAATTTCCTACAAAACAGATACATCTAAATATCCTGAAGGATACTTTGTGCAGAATTTACAGATGGACTTCTTCAATTACGCCGGAATACATCGTCATGTTAGACTCTATACTACACCCAAAACATACATAGATGATATCACTGTGACAACAACCGTGGATATCGGTTCAAATGTAGCCTATGTAATTTATGATATACAGATTATTGGAGATCAGGCAGTTGGTTTAACTGTGGAACTTTTAGATAGTGAGGGAGTTGTTATTCAGGGCGCACCAACCAGCAATGGGACTTTAAAGGTGATGAATCCTACCTTATGGTGGCCTTATACGATGAATTCAGGTGTTCCTGCCTATCTATATACACTAAAAGTCGCATTAGACGGCAGTGATATTGATGTCTATCGTTTGCCCGTTGGTATACGAGTGGTAAACGTCACTTCCGATAAGTTTCTTATAAATAATACACCATTTTACTGCCATGGCGTCGACAAACACGAAGATTCTGATATTCGAGGTAAGGGATTAGATTACGCCCTGATAGCAAAAGATTTTAATATGCTGAAATGGTTGGGAGTCAACTGCTTTAGGACATCGCATTATCCTTATGCTGAAGAAATTCTAGATCAAGCAGATCAGCAGGGAATCGTTATAATTGACGAGAGTCCTGGTGTCGGTATAAAAAGTTATAATTTTGATAACCAAGATTTATTGAATCATCATCTAGAGGTTATGTCAGAGATGTACCGAAGGGACAAAAATCGCCCGTCCGTCTGTATGTGGTCTGTGGCTAACGAACCCGACTCCGACAGTGCCAATTCTGTCAATTATTTTAAATCCGTAATAGGGCATACTAGACAGCTTGACCCAACACGACCTGTTAGTTTTACTTCGGATCGTGACTATTCTAACGACAAATGCGTGCAGTTTGTGGATGTTATTATGATCAATAGATATTATGGATGGTACAGCGATACTGGGCACCCAGAAGTCATTCAGAGACAAGTTAACACTAATTTTTTGGAATGGAGAAAGCTTTATAATAAGCCTTTGTTGGTATCAGAATTTGGAGCTGGTACAGTAGCAGGGTTACACATGGAACCAAGTATGGCTTTTACGGAAGAATATCAAATAGATGTCTTATCTCAGTATCACCAAGCCTTTGACCAGCATATAGGAAAATTCCTTGTCGGTGAGCTTATTTGGAATTTTGCTGATTTCATGACTGCGCAAAACCCAACACGAGTTGTTGGAAACAAGAAGGGTATCCTGACAAGGCAACGACAACCTAAAGCAGCTGCTCAGTTAGTTCGAAACAGATATAACTCTATGTTTCATTCATCGTTTAAACGAGATCGCAGACTTTGTTACTTGTAGTAAATGTGTAGTATTTTTTTTTCTGACTTCGTAGCCGCTCAAAACTACATAAGATGGTATCCTCACAAGACAACAACACCCAAAAGCAGCTGCTCGGCTAGATCAGCTCAGATATAACTCCTCGTTTAATCAAAATCACAGACTTTATTTTTATAGATTATAATTTTTTTCCGTCAAACTGTTGAATTAAATCTCTGAGTGGCATTTAGTGATTGAGCACATTAAAAACACAACACAATTTATATGGAATACTGGTTTATACACATATAGCACGATTTTCGACAAGTATTCTCTTATCGCTATCAAGTACAAATGATAAATTGGCAAACTAAAAGGTAATATTTATTGTCCTATAAAAAAAAGAAGCCATAAGACCTATGTTGTTACAATACTAATCACTTGTCTTATGGCTTCTTTTTTATTTTACCATAAATATTACCTTTTAGTTTGCTAAATTGTTTTGTTTTGTTTGTTTGGTTTTTTTTTTGGGGGGGGGGGGCAATTAAAGTCATCCGATGTGTTATTTACATTATTGATGCGTATACGCATTTTGGGGTAAAAGGTCAAATTCAAACCCAAGATTTTAAAGTTACAGTTAGACAGATAAATACTTGGCAAGACAAGTCAGATTTAATGAAATCGACACTGTTTACCCAAATAAAAGAACAAATCCATAATATCAATTTTAGTTTTTCCTATTACAATACTCTTCTGTACAAATCCATAAAAATTCATTTTTAGTTTTAGTACTGAACATTGGTATGCGAGTCGTTGGAACAAAACCAGAATCAACCAAGGCACCAACAATGTCGGTATAAAATGTCCGCCATATTAAAGTGATTTCTCCTTAACAAATAAACCTACAGGGTCGGGGAGCCACATAGGTTCCTGGTTCCATCCAGGTGTTGGTCGAAAAGTTCCTCGGGATTTTCCGTTGTGGTTTCCGCTTGTCGAAAAACTAGACCCCTGCACGTAAAAGAAACCTTGACAATTGTAATTCTAAATCTCCTGGCAACATTTTCCGCATAGCACACTGCATGGCGTATGCCCGTCTTCGTTACCAAGGATGGAGCAGAAAAGTAGGAAGTTAAATCCCGTTTCATTTAATTTGGCTGAGGTCGGTCAATATTTTATCATTTACATAGAGATAAGAGACGTGGATGTACTTTGCCCGTGTAGGTAATTTAAGTAACAAATAAATCACTTTAAAAGAAGATAATTTTAGTTATGCCTGTATTTCGGCACAGACTACAAGGTTTTCGGCAAAGGGGACATAACTCTGATAAGGAAGGTCGCGGAACGCTGAATATCGATAGGGTTCGTCCTCTCATGATCACAATTCTTTCCACCAAAAACCTATTAAAAACTACAGCTCTACAAAGGGTCATAGAACACTTTTAAGTACATGTATATCGATAGGGTTCCTCCATTTGTTACCACTTTTGAAAATTTCAAAAGAATCCGACAGGGTTTTCGGCAAGGAGGTATAACACCGGAACGGAAAGTCGCGGAACGCTGGGAATGAATAGTGTTCATCAGTTCATGGCGCCAATGCTTCGCACCCAGTTTGTGAACATTCCATTAAAAACTATAGTCTCTATCGCTTTCACAGGGTTTTCGGAAAGGGGGATATAACTCTCGTACGGAAAGTCGCGGAACGCTGAGTATCGATAGGGTTCGTCATCTCATGATCACAATGCTTCACGCCATATTTGAAAAGAATCTGACAAAAACGTTCATCCAATATTTCCCATCATTTTAAATAATTCCGTTAAAGTCACGGAACGCTGAGAATCGACACGGTTCATCCGTTAATGACTCGGTTTTCAGGTTTTCGGAAAAGGGGGCAAAGTTCTTGTTCTGGAAGGCCACAATGCTTCACACCAAATAGGAAAAAGATCTACCAAACACTGTTAGCCGCTAGTTCACAAGCCAATTAGTTCGAGGTCTAATAAGTATTTATAAATATATATTTATCACTGTAATAAATGATGGTGTTCTGGGGTCTTTATGATGTTTGCGACATGTGTGAGAAAGTTATTACATCTTAAGCAGTTGAGATGTCATTATTATACGACAATGCAGATTGATTAATGCATTGTGTAAAGTGTTAAATAGCTAAATCAAAGTTGTTGCAGTCTTCAGAATGTATGAATGATTTTTAGAATGTAAGAGCTCATTAATTGCATTTTGAAAAGTGTACTTTACATTTTACACCATGAAATTAGTATTTTAAAACACTGCAATATGTATTTTGAACCGCTGTCCATCTTCAAACTGTTGGCAACGTTATACTTCCATTTTATTCAACATTGCATAGCAACAGCACTAAAGATATATTAAGAGCCAATGGTAAACAAAATCCTACACAACCAAAGGGATGTATTTATCAAATAGTATGCAATTGTGGGATTGCATACATCGGGGAGACAAAGCGACCATTAAATAAAAGGTTAGATGACCACAAGTCGAAAGCAGCAACCAACAACTCAGCTGTAGCTGAACATTTGAACTCCAACCCTCGCCACAGAGTCCAATGGTCCAACGTAAAACCACTATGCAAGAATATAAGCAACAAGAGAGCGCGCCGATTGCATGAAGCCATTCAAATACGACGACACAAACCAACGATGAACAGAGATCAAGGATTGTTCCTCCCCAGGGCGTATGATATTCTTATCACATAATCAAAGGCTAAGCATAATTATTTTTTAATCATATTTAATACTTATCAATATTCCAGTAATAATTTTAAGTTTGTAATAACCATCATAATTTGCAAATATGATAATTAATAATTCCCAACTATTTTTGCTTTTCAGGCTTGCTGTTATTGTAATTTAATGCACTCAATAGTTCTAATCCTGCCTTTCTTCATCACTATAACATCCAGTGAAGTACCACACAATATTTTAAATTGTCAGCCTTCGTGCAGTCATTGTTTTAAGGGATTTTCGTATATCAGTAGAATCACTCGCATCAACATGCACATATCAATTATTTTTTGTCATAATACCAATCAAATCTCATCTCCTTGGGATGTTGTCATTATTAAAACCTCATCAAATCGTTGTTAATACTCCACAACAATCTATTTATTTACCATTTGTGTTTATTTCAGTGAAAGGGGTCGTTGATAACATTTCATCAAATTTTATTTTCTTTCAACGCTTGTCATTATTAAAACCCACTAATCATTGTGTATACTCCGCAACAACTTATCCATTAATCAATTAGTCAATTTTTAGGTTAATTGGTATTATTGCACATTAGCGTTTAATTAAATTGGATTACCTTTACGTACACGTAATTAAGGGAGATCTCTGGTTTGTCAGCATTAATCAAGCATTGTTGTGTGCATGTATATATTGTCCTGTCATATTTTCATTTTTTATCATAGCTTGATAATGACTAGAGAAGTCTAGTCGAAACGTCGCTCAGTAAAAAGCAGTAATTGTATTCCATAGAATTGTGACCTGTATATTACATAGCAAATAGGCTAATGTTCAAAACAACCATTTAATTTAAATAATTTAGTTATTCATACAGTTTAACCGGAATTTTAAACGAAAATATACGATGTATTCTAGTCTTAAGGAAAAATAACCTACTTACGTACCTTACAAAGAAACGGGTGCCAAACATGTGCGCATTGTTTCCTATATAATCAGGTTAATGTCATGTGGTGAAAAGGTGACCATCATAGTATGAGTAATCCAAATGTGAATCTATGGTTAGCAAATGTTTAGATCTCAACAGATTTAATCGATGGTTACTGCTTATAACACCACAATCTTTATTGATACTGGAATGACGGTACACAGGAAATCTATTCGAATATCAGGAAACGGATTGACTCTACCTTGTACCCATGGCCATTTAATGGACATTCTCTTATCTGGCATTGATTTAATACGTTATTATATCTTCCAACAACACGACTTCAAACGTGCGACATTATTCCTGTAGAATGTTACATTGTATTCACAAATATAACATTCTTAAGTCGCGTGTTTTTTACGTTTACATTAATCAGCTGTATTGTTTGGGATCTTAGAGGTTACAATAACTTTGCAATTGTTCTGATGATTAAAGGTGCATTATGTAAGATTTAGAGCTGGACATTCTTGCTATAACAGTTCAAAGGTAGATAATGAAAAATGAATATATTGAAAATTTCATTAAAATTACTTTATTCTGAGCAAACTTATGACTGTTTGTAGATATAGCGTAGATCGTTCATTATCGTAGGAACGGTACTTGCCCATTTTATCGTTAAATGTTTAAATCTCGAGGATGTTTAAATTCATTTAAAGGGACTATCCCGATTTGAATAGTCTCAAAAATAAAAGTCCGAGTATGTATGAAATTTAAGCGCAAAAATATAGAAGAATGGTGTATTTACACCGTCTCAAAATTGCAGCTCAAAATATTGAGTCGTTTGGACGTGAACGCCAAAACTGCTTATCCGGACACCTAACCTTTTTAAAATTTAGGGTTAATATTTTGTTGGGTGACCTGATAATCGATCCCCGTTCCTTCAAAGGTCTATACAGTGAATGACACATAAGCTGTATTTGATAACGAAAGGTAATTTTCACCTACACATTATTTTTTTAAAATAAAAGTCTAGTTTTATCCAGACACCATATAATACAAATTGGGACATCGGCCTCCATTTCCAGATTAAGACTGACGGGTTTAAGTTGTTTGAAAACGTATCACATATATTGAGTTAGTGTGCTCGGTCCTAGGTAAAGGATTTTAAGGGTTTTTAACACAAAATTAAACAGTTGTATTCTCCAAAATATTATCGGGATTGGCCCTTTAAATCCGGGCAATCCGATAGCATTTTCAATTGTTAGGAGGGGTGAGTGGACCTTTCATGTGCTGTCAGTGTTATACGCGGGGCCTTGATTTTCTGTCCCATCCAAACGACTATGCACCTTTCCTTGCCACATTCGTCCTGCACCACTAGCTTGAGGAAACCATACTGAAGTATTTAAGAAGGCGGGGTACGTGATAGAAGTTATCCTCGGGGCAAAGACCACCATCACTTTAATTTTAAAAAACGTATTAAGCGGGGGATGCCTCATTCCTTTA